CTGAATAGAAACAGGCCATGGAGGCCATTCCCTTTTGGGTCAGGAAAAGATGCTGTGATTTCTTCCTTTAATGAGATGCATGAAGAGACAGTCTTGAAAGGAGCCCTGATGCTCTAGTTTCTGTGAATTGTAAATATACTGTACAACTGTAAAACACTGCCTAAGAACCATTGAAGCATAGTGGATAGAGAACCAGCCTTGGAGCCAGAGAGACCTTGGTTGAATTCCCAGGCCTGACACATGCTGACTGTGTGATCCTGGGCATTCTAATCCTATGAGTTGCAAAACCTTCACTGATCTGTAGATATAAGGAAGCTTTTTGTTTTTTTTACCAAGAGTGTACCTTATTTTGACACTTCTTGGATACAGGTCCAGCCTAGGTCCTGAGGTATGGTGGTCAGTGGGGCATTTAAAGGTCTTTTTCCTTCTTAACAACAGGGCTCAGCAACTTCTCTGTAGGTACTTAACAAATATGAATGAATAAACTTCACCAATAGATGACAGAAAATAGTTATTTATGTAGGCCACTAACAGGATTGAAGCATAGGCAAAGTGAGGAGAAAAACTGGTAGAGAGGTGGATGAGAGACATAGAAAAGAAAGAGGCACTAAACTGATCTTCACATTATACCCTAGGCTGTCTTCCTTTACAATAGAAATGCCAGTTCTGGCCAGAGAGCCACTTACTATAGCAAATTCAGAAGTACAGAACATAAAATCAAAGAGAGAGCCTAAATGCCCAAACCAGTGGCACCTCGGTTTTCTATAAATTGAGGAGACACTTGTATTATCTAAGGAGGGAGTTGTATTATATGAAGTGTTTATGACTTGGACCACAGTTGGGAACCCAGAAAGTGTGAGAAGCTCATCAAGAGGAAATGGATGGAATATTTGCTAATAAGGTCATTTTTTAAAAAAAATTACTGAATCTATTTTCACATGCATGTGCTTTGTGAACTTAAGACTTTAATTTCCTTTTGTATTGAATGAGAGGTATAGAAAGGTTTCCTGAAGGTCAGTGAGTATAGGGACTGGAAAATGTTGAGAGCTACTGGATTAGATGACCTTTAAGGTCTCATCCAACCTTAACATTCTATGAGTTTATGAGATGCATCAGAAGAGAATGAAATGCCTTATCTTGGAGCAAGGAGTTCCAGGAAGGGGGCAGGGAGGGTAGTTGGAGATTAAAACCATTCTTCACAAATTAACTCTAGAAGATTGTTCACTGATAATAACCTTGTCAATAGGAGGTTCATGTTTGAATTCTGGATCTCCTAAAGCTAGCCCCTTTCCAAACTTCTGGGAGGTGTTTTCCTATTGTTGTGGTAATCGGGTTGATTTGGCATTTTTACTTCCATGAATTACTCAGTCAGAACCAGAAATGACTGATTTTAATGTGGCTCTAAGAAAAGCCTGCTTTCTATATCTTGCCAAATGAATCGTACATTTATGCTTTACTTTTCCTTGGGATACCTGGGTAATAGCTGATAATTTGTCCCTCATTTTCCCCATCCTTGTGAAAGGGACATAGAGAGCAGCCATTTAAATGACACATAGTATATTCTTTACCATAATAGGCTATGATTTGCAGTTCAATTCAACAAACTGTTATTAAGCATTTGCTGTGCCAAAGACCTTGTGCTAGGCACTGGGGTTATCAAAATGAAAAATGACATGGCTCCAGCCATGAGCTTACAAACAAACAGGTGGGGAGGAGGAGCTATGGCATGTACACAGATACGTATGAACAGGATAGAATGTGATAAAAGGGAAAAGGATGGTAAACTTTGTGCTTTAAAGAAATTGGAAGAGGAAGAAGTCACTTTCATCTGAGGAGGAAGAAAGAGAGGCAATGAGGGAAGGTTGTATGGCAATTGTAGCACCTGAGCTAGGTGTTGGGGCATAGCACTCCCTCTGATCTGCCAAGCAAAGTTCCTACTACTCTGCTCAGTACTGAAGACCCTCAGCTGTTCCCCCAAAACAGATGGTGCTCCATCCCTTTTTCCAAGCTTCAAAAGTATTATCTTGATTTCATATCCTAGCAGTTATTTAAAAGTCCCCATGCATATATACTTCATGATTTTTTTTATCAATTTATACCACTTTTTAATCACAATTTAGACAAATTTTTATCAATTTATTTATCATCTTTCCATACTGAAAAATGCTAACTTTTTTGGTCTCCACTTCCTCAATCATTTTAGTTACCCTTCTCTGGAATTTTTCTAGTTCCAACATATCTTTCTTGAAATGGAATGACAATCTGTGGGTGGGATGGCATGGCTTTGAGGTTTGTTCTTTGTTTTGAACTTATGATTTCATGAGGGAGGGGGTAGGAGGACAGGTAACTTCTTATGTGGAAACCCCATCTACCTAATGCAGTTTTATAGGGTTGCCTAGGACACTGAGGAGTTAAATGACTTACCCAAGGTCACACAGCCAGTGTATGTCAGAGGTAGGACTCAAACCCAGGTCTTCATGACTCCAAAGTTGATTCTCTACCCACTATTGCCATGCAGCCTATGTATACATACTTCCTAGTGATGGGCTATTGTGAATAACTTTTTGGTTGAAGTAGTCCAAGGAATAGCCTGCAGTGATTTCCTGATCTTTTTTCTTTGCTATTAACTGACATCAAGATCATAGATTTAGCATTGGAAGGGACCTTAGAGACTATCAAGTCAAACCCCTCATTTTACATAGGAAGAAACTGAGGCCCAAAGAGCTTAAATAAATTGCCCAATGTCACACAAGTAGTTAATGACAGAGGTGGGGTTTTGAACCTGAGTCCTTCAGTTGCAAACCCAGTGCTCCTTCTGCTGTATCACACTGCCTTACAACTAGTAGTTGGAAATTAGTATCCTATAAGTGTAATTAGGGTTGTTTTTTCATCAAGGCATTACATTGAATTTATTTATTTTTGCCCACATTTCTGTGTATTCATATAGTCTCTTACCCTAGGCCATACTCTACAGAGTGGCCTATTTAGAATAAAGATTGGCCTTGGAACCATAAGAACTCAGACTTAGCTCTGATGCTTATTAGCCAGTGGGACTTTAGACAAAGCCTTTCCAGACCAGTGGCCATAGCCATCACTCTGGGAAGCAGCCCTTTAGTATATGCAGCCAGGCTGCTTGCTCCTGGAGGGGCTGCAGTCATAGCTACTAAAGAGCCAGAAAAGAAAGTTCTTGCCCCAAAGTCCATAGCACACTGTCAAATGGTCCTACATCAGAAAGTGGTATCATTTTATCAGTAAAAATTACATTAAAGAAGAATTAACATCTGCTTTGCTATTGCAACCTAAGGACCATGGGACTTTTCCATCTGGCTTATAGCAAAAACCTTCTGTATGTGTAGACTCCCCCATTAGAATGTGAATTCTTTGAGAGCAGGGACACTCATACTTTTCTATCTGTGTCCCCAGCACTTAGCATAGTGCTTTCCCGAAACATAATCAATGCTTATTAAATGTTTCATTAATTTCACTTTTCTGATACCTGATTTTCTTTTCTCCCAAGGCTATGAGGGTCATATTGTTTAGCATAGTACCTGACATAGAGATACATGAAAAATATCTATGAACAAATAATATGCAGGGTGTCCCAGAAGTCTTATTGCAGTTTTAAACTTTAATAGCAACTAAAATGATCAAAGCAGTGGCGACATTAAAAAAATTAGCATTCTTTGGTCCCAAAATTCTTGGTGAGGTTCTAAGCTAACTGCACTAAGATTTTTGGGGACATCATGTATATATAAATATATCAAATATTTTGTCAGTCATGAATGAAATACATAATTAGTAACATACTTGTGCCTGGTATACTCATGGTTTATCCCCAGTAGGTTGGCATGATGCCCTAGCATAACTTAGTGTCATCTCTACCCTAGGACCATTCTGCCTTTTATTGATTACTTATAAAAATGCCCAAGAAAGATGCTCATAGAAGCTGTCAATTACTCTGAAACTTCATTGTCAATCCTTTCCCCTGAATAAAAGTACCAATTTCTCCCTACCATCTATTCTGAGTTCTGGCAAAAAATTAATTCTTGTCCATCAAATTCAGAAAATCCTGGTGTGGTCTGTCTCTGCTATAATGAATGCAGTAGTGGACAAATATCTTCCAGGTGATAAAAAAGTGGTTGTGTTTTACTTTAAGGATGAGAATGATTCATCCATACAAGTACTGGGCTGCATTCATTTAGACTTTCTGAAGAAGGAAGGTTTTGAAATTTCACATGTTAGTATTTAGTTGTGTAAATTAAGAAGAAAAGAAATAATATTAAATACCACGAGTTCTAAGGAGCCCCATTTCCTTATTTGTAAAATGTGTGTATTTGGGGGCAGGGGATTGCCCTGGGCAATCTCTAAAGATGCTTCCAACTCTTTTTAAAAAAATTTTTTTAATTTAATTTTTTATTTATTTTTATTTTAATTAATTGCTTCCAACTCTTAACATTCTAAAATTTCTGAGTTCTAATGCAACAACTTCACAGAACCTGTTAGGTGTTTATTTTCCATTGACTTTCCTGCAATTATATGCCACCTAGTGGTCAGGACTAGACTAGCAATTCTTTTTATCTTACAAGAGGGTCCCTGGGGTAGTTTGTAATCCAAAGGTGAACAGGTTGAAGAACTCTCTTGCCATATCCTTCATATTACCAAGCCAGGCCCAAACTTAGAATTAGAGAATGTTAAAAGCTAGAATGGACCGTATTATTGAACCTCTTAATTTACAGCTAAATGGTGGCATGGCTAGAGAACCAGACTTGGAATCAGACCTGAGTACAAATCCTGTCTCAAACAAATTATTATTATTAGGAAACTGAGGCACAGAGAGACATGGAGATTCTCACCCTAAAATCACAGACTGACAATGTCAGAACTAGAATCCAGTCTCCTGGCTCAGTCTACTCCTCCTTTCAGTATACCATTCTGACTTTCATCATCCCACACTGCCTTTATTTTACACTGTATATTATAACCCTTTTTTCTTCTTTTAGCTCTAGAACAGCTGCTTACAGAACTGGATGCTTTTTTGAAGATTCTAGACAAGGAGAACCTGAGTAGCACTGCTGTGGTGAAGAAGAGCTTCCTTACAGACCTCCTTCGGCTCTACACAAAGACCAGCAGTAAGTCCTGAGTCATCCTTTCCTGAGGGTGCTCCTCTTTTTTGATGCTCTACCTTTTTTGAAGTCTTGTGGGAAGGAAAAGATTATTTGTGGAATCATCTTTCCATTTCCAGATAATCTTTGCTCTGGATAGCAGAAAAAGTACTGGTTTGTGGTAATACAGGTTTGGGCAAGGGGAGGCAAGCAGGAATATGCAGAGTATATAATGTGGTAGAGTAGCATGTAGGCTCCTTGAGGGCAGGAATTATCTCACTTTTGTGCTGGTAGCTCTGTGCCCAACAGTAGTAGGAAATTTTTTAATGCTTGCTTAGTTGATCAAAGAGCAAAGTGGTAATTGGCTTATGCTTTAGCTTGAGGGATTTAGCCTAGATATAAAGAGTAAGGAGTCCTGGTGGGTTGAAGCATTTCTTTGGTCCCATCAGTAAAAGTGCCAGTGCCTTAGAGCAGCAGATGTTTTTCAAATAAGCTATTCTTTGCAGTGACTGGCTTTTGTGGTCTGGTGTGTTTACTCTGGAAAAGTTATTGGTGTAACCTTGACCTGAGGCAGAAAAGGAAGTTCAGGGAAACATGGTTTGGAGGCATTCAAAACCACAAAATCCTGAACTCTAGGTGTTTTTCAGGAGGGAAGAAGATGGCAATTTTCAAGGATTTTTGTTTTGTTTTGCTTTGCTTTTTTACTTTAAAAAATATTTGAGTCTTTGGGCTAGTAGAAGGGGATTTATCTATCTCCTTGCCTTCCTGGCAGAACATGACAGAACTTCTCCTAGGAAGTGAGAATCAGAGAAGGAAATGCCCCAACCCATGACCACCCCTTACTTGCCTCTCAGGAAGTTCTTCCTTATATTTAGTCTAAGAATCCACAGGCTAGAGCTTAATGAAGGCCACTTTCTCATATCTTCTTCTGCTCTTGGGGAAGGTAGTTTTTCAACCTCGATGAAATAGAGCTTCATATGCATGAAACTTACTGTATCCCCCTCGGTTTTCTCTGGGCTATACAGATTCTAGTCCCTTTACTTAGCACTCAGCCTCCAGTTAATTTGGGGAGTTCTCTCTTCTGAATTGTTTCACAGCTCTTGTCAATGTTTCCTAAGATTTCTTGTCATAAGTTATCTGAGCAATACCAAGTATTCATGAGCTTCACTTTAAAGAATTCAGGTATGGTATATGAAGATCCAGATTGCAAAGAAGATAAGTTATAGGATGATTAAAGATGGTTATATACTTTTTTTCTTTTGTGAGGCAATTGAGATTAAGTGACTTGCCCAGACTCTGATACCGGATTTGAACTCAGGTCCACCTGACTCCAGGACTGGTGTTGTATGCAGTGCACCACCTAGCTGCCTCAGGTTATACACTTTAAAAAGGATTTTACATGGCATTCCTTTAGATAGCTGCGACCTAGTCCATTCAAAATAGGAACTGACTTAAAACCATTGAATTAACTTATAATCTTTTGGGATTTTACTTATAACTTTACATGTAAAGCAAAGTAATCTTATGACAAGAAAGCGACCATATTCTAAACTGTCTCAGTGATTCCAAAGTAGTACTTGCTTTGTAAAACTAGGATTACATTACTAACATTGGCCTTTATCCAAAGTGATTTCTGGACCTTTTTATGTTGTATACAAAACCAGTCAGTCCCTGAACAATTTTAATTCAACATATATTTATTGATCAGAGAATCACAGACTTTCAGAGTAAGAAGGGGCCTCAGCACTCATCTAGTTCAACACAAACCTCAAAAGAATCCCTATGAAACATTTTGAACAATTAGGCCATTAGGCCTTTCCTTGAATAATGGCAATGAAGGGGAGCCCCCTCACTATGCCCTGAAGCATCCCATTCCACTTTTGAGTAGTTCTAATTGTTTGCAAGGCCTTCCTAACACCAATTTCCCCCTTTGCAACTTTCACTCATTGTTCTTAGCTTTGCCCTCCTGTGGCCAAACAACAATTATAAGCCTTCTTTTATGGGACATGACAAAGTAGATTAAAATCTGGCCTTGAAGTAAGGAAGACCTGAATTCAGTTTCTGACTCTGTCCCATATCTGTGCATCGCTATCACTGGACAAGGCAATTTTCTCAAAATTATAAATTGCTCTGAAGATGCCGATCTGCACCGGAAGAGAGAGCTTCCTCATCCAGAAATCCCCTCTACCAGTGAAATCATAGATTTAGTCCCTATCCCTTCCCAACAATGGCCTTTCAAGTATTTGAAGAAAGCTACAATATCAGGCCTAACTCTTCTGTAGGCTAAACCTCACCAATTCCTTCATCCAGTCTTTATAGGCAAGGAGTCAAAGACCTTCACCATCCTTCTGCTGAACATTCTCATCTCATCAATATCATCCCTAAAGTATGATGCCCAGAACTGAATGTACTAGTCCAGAAGCTGCCTGACTAGGGACAGGATTATAGGATTATTACTTCTTTATTCCTGGAAGCTATGCCTTTCCTAACATCCCAAGGACACATTCACTTTTTTTTAGGGGCTGCCATATCACACTTTTGACTCATGAAAACTTACATCTTTTTTGAAGATGCACATGTGCACGTGCACGCACACACACATGTCTCCATGTCTCCCCTTGTTTTGTACTTGGGAAGTCAATTTCTTGAGCCTGAGTATAAGACTTTATATCTGTCCCTACAGAATTTCATCTTATTAGATTCAGCTTAATGTTCCAGCCTACCATGATTTTTTTTTAATCCTGAATCTGTCATCCACCTCATTTTGTGTCATCTTCAAATTTGTTAAGAGTAGCATCCATGTCTCTAAAATGATTGATGTTCTTGTCTTTGTATTCTCTGTACTTAGCACAGCACCCAGCATTTAGTAGGCAACTAATAAATAATTGTTGAATGAATGTTAAGGAGTTCAATGCCAAGCATAGATTCCTGGTGCACTCCACTGAAGATGTCCTTCAAAGTTATCAAAAACCATTAAAGACAGCCCTTCAAACCTAACCCTATGTATGGTAACTATGTATCCTAGGCACTGTGGGGGAAAAGATGAAAACAACATAGCTCCTGCCCTCAAGGAGTTCATAGTTGAGCAAGAATGATAAGTCATAATAACTACAAAACAGAAATGAACCTGGTAAATTCACAGAAGTACAAATAAGAGACTATAAGGACATGGAGAAAGGAGGATGCTTGTAGATTATCTTGCCTGTTTATTTTTGCATCTTTTTGGCACAGCGCTCAGCACATAATAAGCACTTAATAAATGAACAAATGTTTTTCATTCCTTCATTCATTGTGGCTGTATTAAAGGGGCAGGGCACAGTATCAAGAAAGCCTGCATTTGAGTGGGTCTTACCGAAGACTTCGAGCTCCATAGGATTTAGACCAAGGAGACATAGTCTACCAAACATGACAATCTGCCCTACTAGGAAATTAGATTAGTCTGAGAAGATTTTATTGCAGATAAAAGATGCTATTTTCCTCCATAAAGCTTATCAAAATTTAAACTTTAGTGGGAAATATTTCCCCATACTCTTATCATCTTAAAATGTTTAATGTTGTATGTATTTCCAAACATTTTGGGGAGTCTAAAAGTTAAAAGATTTATTTCTTAAAGGTAAATACTACATTCATGTCATGTGGTCTTTAATTTTATTACTTTAAAAAAACTTCTTGGCATCTTTGGCAAGCCACCTATGAATGGAGGGGTCTGTACAGTGGTATTTATTTATTAAGGACGTGACTAGGTACTGTTTATTGTACCTCATGCTACTAGAGAATGGTCAGCCATTTTTGTCTCTTTTGTCAGGCCAGGTACAATCAGAAACAAGCTTTTATTCAGCTAAATGCTCTCCTGGATGTCACAGAATCTTAGAATTACAAAGGACTTTGGAGACCATCTTATTTTTCAGATGAGGAACACTGAGGCCCAGGAGGGGTAAGGGTTTGCACAAGATCACACAGGTACTTAGTGACAGAGCTGAGGTAAAACCTAGCTCTCTTGTTCCTGGCTGAATGGCACCCCTCTGCCTCTTCTCCACACAGACATCCTGTTGCCTATCCTTATCATATTCTAGCAGCTGCCTTGTCAAATGGACGGACATGTGAAGTACTCTTTTGGCCCCGACAAAACCACTTTTTCTTTTGTAGCTCTTCTCAAAAGCACCTAAAGTTCTCCTTAACCCCTCCGCAACCACCCAGTGCTCAGAGAAATACCACCCCTGTCCCCACTATAAGTGTCATTATACAATGAAAATTTCAAGCCAAGTGTTGGCTTATACAAATATGAAACTCTCTCACATTGAATGTTATATGTTCTTACCAGAATTGGTTCATTGCATGTTTTTCCACTGATGGATATGGATAAGGTATGATCTGTCCAGAGATTTTATTAGTATGTACTAAGTTAAGTTACACCAGAATGGCAAAAATATTAATTTTGGCTAGTAATTTAACCACTGCATGCCTCAGTTTCCTCAATTGTAAAATTAGGGTTTTGCACTTCATTGATCTCTTAGCCTCCCCAACCCCCTACCCCTCAAACCAGGCTCTAAATCTATGATCTTTACCCTTCAACAATCCAGACTGGTTGATTTGATCTCATGATTTTGCCTAGTTGGGTGTTTTTATCTGGGTTTATCATCTGGGGAATATAAGATGCACCCATGTCAAGGGTCAAGAGCACTTGAGCTCCATATGACAGTGTTTTGGATGGATCTGAGCACACAGGTACTGCAATAATGAGTTAATCTTAGCCAAATACATAAGTTCCTGATGACAAAGTAAATACTACTGAATAGGCCTTTCCATGTGTGGAAGCATGCCAAAAATAAGAGAACATTATTTGTTAAAGGAGCAAAGTTATTGTTAGTAATAACAACGAGAGTAACTTAGTATCCTAACTGGCATTTGTATAACATAGTACACTAAAGCCTTACTCAGATGTGCCCTGGCTGCCCAAGGTTCTCATACGCTCTGCTAAGGCCACACAAGCTCTGTCAGATCCCACCAGGCTGAAAAGGATTTCAGTGCTAGCCAGGAATGCAACACAGGCCTGCTGTCCAAGGACTCACCTAGCTAAACTTGGAAAAGCTCATCACCAGAAGGGTGGTCGTGCCGTGATGATTTTTTTCCCCTCATCACAGCAACTCAGGACAATCTGCTGCCGAGGCAAAAAGAAGAAGCTGAGGTCTGCATCTGTGGAGGGAATTCTCACACAGGTGAAATCACAGAACCTTTAAATATTGAAGTAAATGTTTCTACTTTATCAGTCTACTCTCAATAATATTAACTGAAAGTTGGCATCAACAACCCTGTGAAATCAGTTATCGATGTTATTGCTACCATTATCTTTACCATCATCTCTGCATTGAAGGTGAAAAAGTCGAACAGAGATACAATAAAGGACTGACCCTGCTTCCTTGGAAGGGAGGAAGGGAGGAAACGAGGAGAGAGAACAGACTTGAGCTTTGATTTCATTGGTTTAAGAACTTCCCAATCAGTGAGTTAGTCAGCAGGTACCTATTAAGTGCTTTACAATGCATTAGGCATTGTGCTAAGTGCTGGGGATACAAAGAAAGGCAAAGACGTCATCCCTGTTCTCAGGGAGCTCACATTCTAATGAGGGAGACAGTATGTTAACAACTATGAACATACAAGATACACACAGGATGAATGGGAGGTAATCTCAGAGGGAGGTCACTAGCAGTAGGAGGGAAGGGAGGACCAGGAAAGGCCTCTTGCTGAAGGTGGGATTTGAGCTGAGTCTTGAAGGAAGCCAGTAAATAAAGAGAGAGGAGGAAGAAAATTCCAGGCCTGAAGGATCACTAGTGAAAAGGGATGGAGTTATGGTTGAGCAACAGCAAGGAGGCCAGGTAGAGGAGAATAAAGCATAAACAAATACAAAAAGACTGAAAGTGCCCTCCAGCCATGCAGATTGGTACCTGCTCTGCAACTGAAAGTCTTGAAGACTCTCCTCAGGCATTGAGAGGTAACTGAAGTACCCAGTGTCAAACAACCATCCAAGGTCCAAAGCGGGACTTGAATTTAGGTTCTCCTGACTGAAGCCAGCTCTCTGCCCATTATACCACACTGCTCCAGGTACAAACAGATGGTGAGTAGTGGAGCTGGGACTGGAACCTTGGCTTCAGTGTTCTCATTTACTAATTAACTGAATTGATCAGCTACATATAGTTAGAAAATCTGAACTAAAGGGCCACCTGAGAAATACAGGAGATTTCTAAGATGAGGTAACTGTGCTGTTTTGTCTTTTGAATAAAGACAATATTCTTAATGCATTATAAATAGAGTATGCCATAGTGGACTAACCTTTGAGGTATGGGCAAGGCATAAAGCAGGTTTCTTGACTAGTATGACTTTATTTTCTAAAGGAGTGGCTTGCTTCCAAAGGAGCTCCAATATACCAAACTGGAAAGAAAGTGGATGGCACATTTTTACCTCCTTAAAACATCCTCACCGGTACCCATATAAACATTGCACACAGTGACACACATCTGGAAGGCAATCTTGTCATTTTCTAACTGTTCAAACCTCCCCTCTGTGGTACCAACTTAGGCCAGAGCTGTTGCCTCATGCTTTCAACAAAATCCCAGTTCCTTAGGTCACAGAATAGCTATTTGATTAAAGCAGTTCACCTTAAAGGGTATGGAAAGCTTACCCTTACTAAGGAATATCTGTGTTTTAAAAGAGGAGTTTATTAACACAAAGTAATTTCTAATTGGTAGAACAGGGAAGAGAATTTTTTAACAGGGGTCTCTCCTTGTTCACTTGTTCACTCTAGTGGCCACCTATGGTACATGCATGCCAGAAAATTGGGCTGGAGAAGGGAGTAGTCAGCAACATGGCACCCCAATTTGGAAGGACTGCTGACCCCCAGAATCAGTTCTTTTTAGACCAGCTCAAATTCCTGATTCCTTTTGCATCTATATTTTTCGATAAGGCAGATAAAAATAGGATCTCCTTAACACAAGCAACAGTAACCTGGCAGTATAACCAAGTTCTCCATCATCTTTTCTTTCGGTAAGAGTTAAAGTGAATCTTGCCTTTTGTTACTCCGTAGGTTCTGATGAGGAATATATTTACATGAACAAAGTTACAACCCATAAGCAGCCACCTGTGGAGATAGAAGACAAAGGAAAAGACAAAGACAAAGGTATGGGATCTGGGCCAGGGCTGCTGATTGGTGGGGTGGGACTTGTATCCTGGAGGGGAGTGGTGACAGGGAGCATCTGCCACATTCTTCCATGACCCTAAGCATCAAAGCTTTGGCTGAGACTGGGGAGCTATTCCTGGGAGCTGTGTTTTAGAGAATGGTATTTTGGGATGGCAGTAATCTATTCTTTAGCTGGAAGATTATATTTTGGGATGACAGTACTGTATTCTTCAGCTGGAGGATGGTATTTTGGGATAACAGTATTCTGATTTTCAACGAGTCATATGCCCATTTCTTGAAGTGTACCTGTCTCTTAACCTTTTTTGTTATAGATTCCTTTGACAATCTGGTATAGCCTATGGACTACTTCTCAGAATATTGTTTTTAAATACATAAAAGAAATGCATAGGATTACCAAGGAAAACAATTAAATAAAATGCAATTATCAAAATGTTCAAAAAAATACCAGGTTAAGAATTCCATCTTTTGGGACTGAATATCTCTACCAGAGGTGGGGAACCTGCAGCCTCGAGGCCACGTATGGCCCTTTAGGGTCTCAAGTACAACCCTTTGACTGAATCCAAACAAAGTTGATGCCACATGTGGCCTCAAGGCCACAGGTTCCCCCACCCCTGCACCCACTTGATCATTCAAATCATCATCAGGATGAGGAAGTAACATTTCTAGTATTATAAACTAAGCCACTTTGGGTGCTTTACTTCTAGTCTTATATACATTTTTTGATTAGACACATGTGTTTCCTATCCCTAAATTATCTTAGAATCTGAGTAACTTCTTTGACGTTTGAAAACATATCTTAAATCTTTATGATATCTCTTACTTTTCAAAACATTCTGACAATGAATGTGTTATCTCATTTTATCTTCTAACAGTTCTATGAGATTAGTATTGAATTGAGAAGGGTGAAATGATTTTTACCAAGATTATATAGTTAATTAAAATGATGAGATTAGAATTTAGATGTTGTGACTCCTGTATCCTTACTCATTCCCCTAAGCCACCCTGCCCTCTAACATAAAAATTTGGATTGAATTAACAGGGATGATATCTAGCTGAGTTCATTCTTTTTTTTCTCCCTTATCTTTTTTTTTCTTCCTTCCTTCCTTCCATCCATCCATTTAGGCTGGAAATGCAGTGGCTACTTCGTAAACTCAACCCCACTACTGACCTTTTTCATTTCTGATCTAGGATGATTTTCCCCTCCTTAGTCAAGGCAGCCTGGTGGCAGCTTGCTTCCAGGGACTTATCATATTGGATGTGAGACTTAGTGCAGACACCCATCATCTTAGTGTAGTGCAGCTCAGAACTCCCAGGTTCAAGTGATCCACCAGCTTTAGCCTTCCTGGTAGCAGGGATGACAGGCATTTGCCATCATGATTGGCTAAGACTCCTTTTTAAGGTCCTGAAGGTAACCTACAGGCTGTTAAATTGACTATTTAGTATATCACACATATTTCTCTTAAGGGTATTAGTTATCAAATTTTTAAAAAAATTAACAGGGCTTTTCCACAAAACACATGACTATTTGGTGCCACTTGTTTTTAGACATGATTCCCTCACTCTCTGCCTCCAAACCTCAGCTAAAGTATCTCTTTTGAGTGGTGGCCAATCTGCCAAAAACAGCTTGCCTGCTGGATAAATTATGGGATGGAAAGAACCATAATCACAGGGTAAACACTGAGTCTCTCTATATAGCAATCAGTCTTGCAGGTCTAATGATTACTGAAGATACTGTGGTCTGCACCATTTTTGACCCAGGGGAGTTGGGGAAGGAACATTCCAGAAATCCAAAACAGGTTCCTCCAAAAGAATTTTTCCTGTAGCTGAGGTGCTACGGCATTGTAATCTTAGAGAGAAGATATTGCAGTCTTCAAAGTAGTTCCTCAGCACATCCCACCAGGCTTCCTTCTCAGATGTAACTCCTGTGCATAAGATTGTATTCTACTGTGAAATAGACACGTCACACTAACATTTCTCCATTTTCTTCTTTGCAGCACTGAATGTCTCAGATCCTCTAACCAACGGAGAATTGGTACAGCACTTATCTGCCCCACAGAAGAGCCTACCTGATCTCCCACCTCCTAAAACAGTAAGTGTCCAGTGTTGGGTCCTGATTCCGCAAACCTTGGCCTCCTCCAGCTTTTGGTGGTTGTTATTGACCACGATAAATTGATTTTAGCTAAGGTAATTTTTTGAACACCTGCTATGTGTTTAGATTTATGTTAGACACTGTGAGGTACACAGAAGCACAATAAAACCTGAATCTTTAGGTCAGGTAGTTTATAATTTAGCTATGAAGATAAGCTCATAGAACTTGAAATTGTTGTAGACAAGAAAGTAACTCAACTATTTTTCTGAAATTGTCTTCTCCAGTGTTACTTCTGATCCCTTAATTGCTAAATCCAAAGGCCTTTTCTCATTCTTCCTCCTTCTTGACTTTTATGCAGTATTTTATACCATTGGGCACCTCTTCTTCCTGGACACTCTCTCCTCACTTGGATATGACACTGTTTCCCCTGGTTCTCCTACAGGGCTGATTGTTTCTCAGTTTCCTTTGCTGAATCATCACCCATGTTCCATCCCCTAAGAAGGGTATTCCCTAAGACTCTGTCCTGAATCTTCTCTTCTGTTTCTGAATCAGTTACCATGGGTTCAATTATTTCTATGCATATGACTCCCAGATACTTTTGTCCAGCCTAATCTCTTTCCTGAGTGCTGGTTCCATACTTGTTGGACTTTTCCAAACTGCTTTTCCACTAGGTACCTCAATATATCCAAAATGAGATTCATCATCTTGCCCCTAAACACACTTATTCTCTAGACTTCAAACTTCCCCTTATTCTTATTTTCTTACAGTTACCTGGGTTTTCAACATCATTCTCCCTCTTGACTCTTCTTCCCCCAACCTCTTGTACAAAAAACTGTTATGTCTTATCAATTCAGCAACATCTCTCTACATCCATCTTTGTTTTATTCCCACTGAGATGACCATCAGGTAAGTTTAGGCCAGTTATCTCCTACCAGCATTATTGTGATGGCTTCCTAACTGTTTTCCCAGCTATTCTTCTCTTCCCTCTCACCTGTTCCCTACACTGCTACCAAAATCACCTAAGGCACAGGTTTGACCATGACATTCCCTTGCCCAAAGAATCTTCAGTATTGCGTTACCATTTATACAGTAAAATACAGATGACTCAGACATTTAAAGCACTTCAAATTCTAGCTTTTCCAGGTTTCTGCCTTTTGGTTATTCCATATTGTGGCCAAATTGGCCTGCCTAACCTCGACATGCTATTTTCCTAGCACACTTTTATACCAGCTGACTACCTGTACCTCTTAGTCAGCCAAAAGACATTTGTTAAGGGCCTATTATGTATCAGGTACTATGCTAAGCAGTGGTGGGGAAAGAGTCAAAAGACATTCCCTGCCCTCAAGAAGCTTGTGGTGTAATGGGGAGACCATAAGCAAACAAATATGTATGAACAAGCTATTTATAGGCCAAGTAGGAAGTAGATAAGAAAGGGAATATGCTAGAATTAAGAGGGAAAAGTTTCCTGTAGAAGATGAAATTCTAGTTGGCACTTGAAAGGAAGTCAGAAGGGTGGAAAATGAGGGATGGCATTCCAGGCATGAGGAACAATGAAAGAAAATGGCCAGAGCTGAGAGATTGAGTGTTTTCTTTGTGCAATAGCAAGGAAGCTGATGTCAATGGATCTAATAGAATCCTAATCTTCATTTTAGGCTTAGTTCATGTGCTGTCTCCTATAAGAAATCTTTCCCCTTAGTAGCATTAATACTCTTTCCACTTGAAATTATGGTATGTTTTCTTTTGTTTATATGTGGTACTCCACTCCTCCCAATAAAATGTTAGCTCCTTGAGGTTACTGGCAGTGCTTTGAAATAGTTTGTTTGTTGTCCTTCATAATAGAAGAGGACCAAAATGACATCACGATGTTGGGGTTATTGTGTCCAACTGTGTCTGATTAAACCAATACCACTTCAGAAGACTTTAGCACAGGTTGGGTTAAATAGTACATATGAACATTTGGAATGGAGATGTCTCTAAATTTGCACAGCTCACATTTCTTTTGAGTACTGCAGTTCTGCTTTGTTCATAGAGCACAGTACCTTCTTTGATGCAGGCATAGCATGCTAGGCAGTCCTGTGCCAGTGTCTCCCAGGTCTCATAATTGTGACAGAATATAATTTAAGTGCTGAGTTAAGGGTATATGCTTGGAAATAGAAATCAGTGAAGGTTAGAGTGATCAAGGAAGGCTTCATGGAGAAAGGAGAGAACTTGAGTGAGGTCTTAAAGGATGGATGGCAGATGAGAAGTTACTCATTCTGGCTACAGCATTAAGCAGCATTACACAGGCAACTGCTTTCCACTTATGTTGTTTGCATGGAGTATTGGCTTGTAAAGATGACAAACAAAGTCTCTGCCACGTCCATTATTAAATGTAATTTTTATTGCATTATGATCTGAAAAGGGTGCATTTACTATTTCTGCATTTGATTGTGAGGTTTTTATGTTCTAATACATGGTCAATTTTTGTGTAGGTGCCATGTACTGGTGAGAAAAAGGTATATTCCTTTCTGTTCCCATTCAATTTTCTCCAAAGATCTATCATATTAAATTTTCCAGAATTTTTATTCACCTCCTTCTTTCTTGTTTACTTTTTGGTTAGGTTTATCTATTTTTGAGAGGGGAAAGTTGAGATTCCCCCACTAGTTTAGTTTTATTATCTATTGCCTCTGGTAACTCATTCAACCTCTCCTTCAAAAATTTAGATGCTATACTACTTGCTGCATATATGTTTAGTATTCATATGACTTCATTGTCTATGGCACCTTTCAGCAAGATATAGTTTCCTTCTTTATATCTTTTAATGAGACCTATTTTTGCTTTTGCTTTGTCTGAGATCATGATTGCTATTCCTGCTTTCTTTGCTTCAGTTGAAGCATGATAGATTCTGCTCTAGCCCCTTACCTTTACCCTGTGTGTATCTCTCTGCTTCAGATGTGTTTCTTGTAAACAGCATATTGTGGGATTCTGGTTTTTAATCCGTTCTACTGTCTGCTTCTGTTTTACGGGTGAGTTTATCCCATTCACATTTGTGGTTATGATAATTAACTGCGTATTTCCCTCCATGCTATTCTTTGGTAATCCCTGCTTCTCTCTTACACTTTACTTTACTCTTTCCCTCTTCACAATCTTTCCCTCTTCTGATCACCACCTTCCCCAATATATCCTCCCTTTTATCAGTCCCCCCCTCCCTTCTATTATCCCATTTTACTTCCTTCTTAATTTTGTTTTTTGGGTGAGGCAATTGGGGTTAAGTGACTTGCCCAGAGTCACACAGCTAGTGAGTGTTATGTGTCTGAGGCCTGATTTGAACTCAGGTCCTCCTGAGTCCAGGGCTAGTGCTCTATTCACTGCACCACCTACCTGCCCCAGCCCCATTTTACTTCCTTATAGAGTAAGTAGATTTCTATATCCAGCCAATTGTGTATGTTATTCCCTCTTTGAGCCAATTTTGATAAGAGTAAGGTTTAAGCTTTGCCTACCACCCTTCCCCACCCATTTCCCCCTCTATTATAATAACTCTTTCATGGCTCTTTTATGTGGGATAATTTACCCCATTCAACTTCTCCCCTCCTTCTTGTGGAATTTTCTTTGTCTCCCCTTTGTTTTGTTTTTGGGGGTATCATCCCATTAAAATTGCCTTATATCCACACCCTCTGTCTACATATATTTCTTCTAATTGCTCTTATAGTGATAAAGTTGTTAAGAATTACAAATATTATCTTGCCATATAGAAATATAAATAGTTTAATCTTATTGAATTTTTCATATTTTCTCTTTGTTGTTTCTTTTTTAACCTTTTTATGTTTCCCCTAAGTCTTGTATTTGGAGGTCAAATTTTTTTATTCAGCTCTGTTCTTTTAATTAGAAATGCTTAAAAGTCCTCTATTTCATTAAATATCCATTTTTTTCCCTGAAAGATTATATTCAATTTTGCTGGGTAGGTGATTCTTGGTTTTAATCCTAATTCCTTTGCCTTCCGGTATATCATATTCCAAACCTTCTGGTTCTTTAATGTGGAAGCTGCCAAATCCTGTGTAATCCTGATGGTAGCTCCATGATATTTGAATTGTTTCTTTTTGATTGCTTGTAGTATTTTCTCCTTAATCTGTGAGCTCCGGAATTTGGCTATGATGTTCCTAGGAGTTTTCATTTTGGGACTTCTTTCAGGTGGTAATTGGTAAATTCTTTCGACGTCTTTTTTGCCCTTTAGTTTTAATATATCAGGGCAGTTTTTTTTTTAATAATTTCTTGAAAGATTGTCCAGGATTTTTTTTATAATAGCTTTTGGGTAGTCTAATAATTTTTATATTATCTCTCCTGGATCTATTTTGTAGGTCGGTTGATTTTCCAATGAGAAATTTTACATTTTCTTCTATTTTTTCACTTTTTTATTTTGTTTGATCATATCTTGATATCTCCTGGAGTCATTAGTTTCCACTTGTTCAATTCTAATTTTTAAGGAATTATTTTCTTCTGTGAGCTTTTGTACTTCCTTTTCTATTTGGCCAATTCTGTTTTTTAGGAGTTGTTCTCCTTGGTAAATTTTTGTACATCTTTTCCTGTGCTATTGACTCTTTTTTTGTATACATGATTTTCTTGCATTACTCTCATTTCTTTTCCCAATTTTGCTTCTACTTCTCTAATTTGCTTTTTAAAATCCTTTTTAAAAATTGTTTTCCAGCTTTCTGCTTTTCTTCTAATCTTGGTTGCATTGGCTTTGTTTGTGCAAAAACTTTTCAATTTAATGTAATCAAAATCATCCATTTTGCTTTCATAATGTTCTCTATCTACAATTTTTTTTTACAGCCAGTGTCTCTGATAAAGGCCTCATTTCTTATATATAGAGAACTGAATCAAATTTAAAAGAATACAAGTCATTCCCCAGTTGATAAATGGTCAAAAGATATGAACAGGTAGTTTTCAGATGAAGAAATTAAAGTTATCGATAGTTGTAAGAAAAAATGCTCTAAATCATTATTGATTAGATAAATGCAAATCAA